CATACAATTCAATTATTTATTTGGTGCATGTTTTATAATTAATTTTCAATTGAATATTTATTGAAAAAAGAAAGGCAAGGTACTATTAAAATTGTCCAGAAAATGATTCTCACTTGATGCGAGATTTAATAGATGGGTGGTTATATTACCACCACAATTTTTATTTAATATACCACATTTTAATTACAATTAAATTGCTTAATATTTGCTTATTATAGCAATTATTTTCTTAACTTTTTTCGTCGAATTCTTATCTTCAACCTTCTATTAATTAGATGCCTCATCTTTGATGATGATTTGTATCAAAATATTTTGTTTTCATGCTTTGAAATGAGGGAAAAATATTTTTGCGTACTTTTTATTTATTTATTTTCTAAAAATATGATGGAAAATAAGTTTTTTTTAACGCCATTTCAACGGATTTTTAGACATAAAATTGTTATAAAATACAAAATATGTTAACTAATGAAAAAATTGAGGGATAAAAATGACATGAAAAATCATTAGGAACACAAATACTATAATGCGCAAAGATTAAGAACCTTGAGTACAATTAAAATGTGGTGGAGATAATAAAAGTTGTGGTGTGAATATAATTACTCTTAATAGATTATAGATATGGTAGATAGATTAATATTATTAAAATTTCACAAAATTTTCGTCAAATTCACCATTGGGTTTTGACTCTATTTTATTGGTAATTAATGTTTTTACAGTTTAGTCAAATATTGAAAGTTCCCAAACAGACTGGAGGATGAAAGATTTTGCATGTGTGTAAGTCACGTGCCAAAAATAAAACGTGTGTGATTCCAAATAGAAGGGCAAAAGTGTCCGGCGAAAAATTGAAAGTTTGAACAACCTGAGAAGTAGAGGATAAAGAATGAGTCCCAGCACAATAAATCACTTAAAGCTATAAATTAGAAGGATAAAATGAATGATTCATAGCGTAATGCAAGATTGGGGGAATTGATTCATAACTACTCCATTAAAATCAGCCGAAAATAACTCATAATCATGTTATCATCTCCTCCATGTCACCCAGGTACTCCCATTCATCTCTCCTGCATGATATTTGTAAACGCACACATATACACACACTTGTGTTGGTCTGCTTTAAACCCTCTTTCATTTATTGCGTTTAATTAAGTCATCGAACTGTGTTTTATGTGGGTATTTGTTTGATTATGTGGAATGCAGGGGTTGAGGGAGAATTAGAGTTGGGTTTTACCGGCGGCAAGCGGCGGCGGATTGGTGAAGGAATGGAGCTCGAGATGGCGGACGTGGAGGCCCAAACTCAGGCGGCCACGGAGAGAGAGAGTCCGGCCATCTTCAAGAAAGCGAATCGTCTAGTTTCATTGAAGGTTTATTTTCTGATTCATTTGTCTGTATTACATTGCATGCATGCACTATAAAAAAAAATACAGCAACATAAAAAGGGTTTTGTTAATTAATTATTTGGCAAAAAATAATTTACTCCAAATTAGAATATTTGTTTTCAATAGAATTGGGCATTAGTTTTCTTGAATTTTTTGCCCTAATTTAATCTGATAAAATAACTGCTGAAATTTTATTTAATTTCGTGGGTGTTTTGTTGGGATTAAAATTAGATTTTTAGTAGATTGTGATATATGTTTTTGAAATGTGTGATCGAAATGTTGTGAAAAAAATGTGGTTAATATTGATTGTTTGACTTTAACTTTGATTTTAATCCGAAACAAACGGGGCTTTCGCTGTCGTCAAAGTAATTGATCCTTTACTACTACTTTATTTTGAATTTTCGTGTAAATAGTAGATTCAAAGAGTCATTAATCATAATCATAAATGTAATTTAGATGAAACTATTGTTTTAAATTGTTATGAAATGATAATTTAAATAGTTCTAATGTTCTTGAATAATGTAGAAAATAATTCATAAGAGTTTTCCAGAGAAATTTCTCCAAGAAAACTGGATAAGTGGACACTAGATTTCCAGCTAAAACCTTCTAGGGCTTCACTTTTTACCTAAACCCCAGATTGATTATGCCTTTATCTTTGTTTACAAAACCTAATTTAATCCGTGTATTTTGACTTTATTTATCTCAATCATCCAACTTTACAGTGCTCTTTTGACCTTTAATGAATGGCTCTTGTTGAAGTGTCTATATAATGTATACCTAATAAATCTCAGACACGATTGTTGGATTGGATTGTATAAAAAAGAAGTTAAAATCTTGTGAGCATTGTCCAATATAACATTCATCGTATTCGTATTGTTAATGTTTTTATTTTTGAATTTTAACTTCAGTATCCTCAATGGGAGTATGATGATTACATTTGCAGTTTGAGGATGTTGTTTACAAGGTTAAGATCAGACAGGAAGGATGTATGAAGAATTCGAAAGCAGAAGAGAAATTAATCTTGAAGGGTATAACAGGTATAGTGTTTCCTGGAGAATTGCTAGCCATGCTAGGTCCATCAGGCAGTGGGAAAACAACTCTACTGACCGCGTTAGGAGGTCGGCTAGGTGGACGTCTTGGTGGAAGCATAACATACAGTGGAAAGCCATTTTCAAACGCAATGAAGCGAAATACGGGCTTTGTTACACAAGATGATGTCTTATATCCTCATTTGACTGTGACAGAAACACTCGTGTATACTGCACTTTTAAGGTTGCCTAATAGTATAACTGGACAGGAAAAGGTCAATCATGCAGAAGCTGTGATATCTCAGCTTGGATTGTCGAGATGCAGGGACTGTATTATAGGCGGTCCCTTTTTGAGAGGAGTCTCTGGGGGAGAGCGAAAACGTGTTAGTATTGGGCAAGAAATGCTTATTAATCCAAGTTTGTTGTTTCTTGATGAACCCACATCAGGCCTTGATTCAACAACGGCTCAAAGGATTGTCCACACATTGTGGGAATTGGCTAAGGGAGGTAGAACGATAGTTATGACAATTCACCAGCCATCAAGTAGGCTTTTTTATATGTTTCATAAGGTGCTATTGCTGTCTGAAGGCAATCCTTTGTATTTTGGGAAGGGCTTGCAAGCTATGGATCACTTCTCTAGTATCGGGTTTACTCCTTCTGTTGCTATGAATCCTTCCGATTTCCTGTTAGATCTTGCAAATGGTACGTTGATGATATCTTATGCGAATATGAATCCTTATGTTGATTTTGAGATTTCATACTGAGCACTAATTATTGAAATTTGAGTTTTCTCTGAACATTCTATTGCACATTTTTTTAATGTTTGATGTATGTATTATCAAAAATTAGTTATATTTTCCGTCTTTCTTTGGTTTGAAACAATCAGTTGATGCTATATCTTAATTTTCTGAAGGAGTTTCAACCGATGACTCACAGGAAGATCAAGCCGCCATTAAGCAAACTTTGGTGTCTGCTTACAAGGCTAAGCTATCAGCGAAGGTGAAATCAGAACTTGAAATTGATAGTCAGCTTCAAGGAGCAATGGACGACAAGCAGTTTAAGCGATGGTCTACAAGTTGGCGGCAACAATTTTCTGTGTTGTTTAGAAGAGGTTTGAAGGAAAGAAGGCACGAAGCCTTTTCCATCATTAAGATTGTACAGGTCTTAGTGGTATCATTATTGTGTGGACTATTGTGGTGGCAATCGGACAGTAGTCACATACAGGACCAGGTAACAAAATTTTTGCTTTAAAAGTCTTTTCTGAATTTCTGCGTTTGGCTGTGCTTTAAAGACTAACTTTCTGGAAAGCTACGTTTTGTTAGTAAAGAAAGTAACTTTGAAAATCATTTTTCACTTGCTTTTGAGTACAACCAAACGGTTCGAACAAGCTCGGAAACTTAGAAATGAATTTGGTGAATTGCTGTACATTGGTATGAATGCAGGTGGGGTTTTTCTTCTTCTACTCTGGATTTTGGGGCTTCTATCCCCTCTTCCAGGCAATTTTCACGTTTCCCCAAGAGCGTATGATGCTACAAAAAGAACGATCTTCGGGAATGTACCGACTTTCATCGTATTTTATGGCACTAACTTTAGGTGATCTGCCAATGGAATTAGTCCTCCCCACAGTCTTTGTCACCATAACCTATTGGATGGCAGGCCTCAAAGCGACAGCAGTGAACTTCTTGTGCAGCTTATTTGTTCTCCTCTTCAGCGTATTATGTTCTCAAGGCCTTGGACTCGCCATTGGAGCATTGGTCATGGACCAAAAGTCCGCGACCATACTAGGATCGGTTATCATGCTTTCTTTCCTTCTGGCAAGTGGTTTTTATGTCCAACATGTTCCCAAGTTTATAGGATGGATCAAGTATATATCCATAAGTAATTACACGTTCAAGCTTTTGTTGCGCTCACAATACAAGCCCGGTGATACGTATCCTTGTGGGACCAATAAAACTTGTTTGGTCGAGGATTTTCCTTCGGTGAAGCATGTAGGACTTGGTGGAGTAGCTATCTCATTGGTTGCCATGGCTATAATGCTTGTGGCATACAGGTTGATTGCATATCTTGCCCTCACGAGAATTGGCGTGGCAAGGAAATAGAGCAATTTTTCGGGAGTTTCTCCCCGTATTGCTTGACGTAAAATGGAATAATAGATTTGTTTTTTTATGTTGTAATTTTACTAAAGCCAATGTCTGAACTTTATGCAGTAAGCAGTGAACAAATCATCAGTTAAATGACCTTTTATGCTTTTAAGAATGACAAAACGTTCATAAGATGAACAATGCTACATGTATAATTGTTGGATTTTTCGAAATTGTTGTAGAAAATGAAAATTTCCAGAATTGACTTG